AATCACAAAAAAGCAAGAAATATCACAAATGTTTTAATCTAGTTTGGAGGCAGTGGAAATGTGTCTAAGGGCAATATGTAGTGTAAATATTATGCAGATAATTCCTAGTGTGGAAATGAGGAGGAAGTGTGGAGTTATTAAAAGTATTTTTCAGAGGGCTGAGGAGGAGGTTGTTGAGGGGGTTTGGTCATTTAGAGAGGATGGAGCAAAATTAGATGACATGGTATATAAATCCTTAGTGGAGGATAGGAGGGGTAGGGGAGGTCCAAGGAAAGAAAGGATGGAAGGAGGGGGCAAAAGAGGTTTTGTGGGCAAGGGACTTGGACATACAGCAGGCATGTGTGAGAGTATTAGATAGGAGTGAATGGAGGCGAATGGTTTTTGGGACTTGACAAGCTGTTGGAGTGTAAACAGGGTAATATTTTGGGAAGGGATTCAGGGAAACAGGTTAGCCGGACTTGAGTTCTGGACATGGGAAGTACAGTGCCTGTACTTTAAAGGAGGGGTTTGGGATATTTGCTGTTTGGAGGGACATTTGAGCTGTCATATCTGTGCACCTCTGTAAAGACAGTGATTGTGTGAATTATGGTGGGAGACAGCCAGTGTGTTGAAAAAAAAAAAAACATTTGTAGTGTATAAAAGCCATGAATTATTTTCCATTATCTAATTGGATTTTGCTGGTTGAATCCTCCAGATATTTATTAAGAATAACCCAAGTACTGTAATATATTTTAATTTCCAGAAAATGATTGGAATTATAATGGTGGTATACCAGTATGTACTGCTGGTATGTGACTTCGTGCATCTGGTTCTTCTATCTGCATTTCTAATGCTAAAATCGATATGGCATTTTGTTTCACCTCCTCCACTCAAGGTCATCACTGGAGAAGTTATTCTGGTAAGAAGGATTTTTAGGCTTTTATTCAGTAGTAGGTGGAATTCCTGTTACCTTTAATTTACATGGCTTTTATTATGTCATAAAATATCTTGTAAAAAACCTTCATGTACTGTGATATGCTCACCTCTGATTCTCTTCCACATACTACTGTATTATATGTACTGTACTATTCTCACCTACCCAGGTATCATTCCTTCATGTTCTGTATGGTTGGAATCATGGCTAGGGCTAAAAGTGAGCAGGTTATAACAATTAATGAAGAAAAAGAAATTGGAATGACTTATGCAGCAAGTAGCAGCAGGTTGGTGTGGTGACCCGGAAATTTGAAATTTTGCTAGCCAAAATTAGGGCCAGATTGCTGATGGAACCGGATTACTGATTGCTGGATTAGTGATGGCCGACCTGTACATGAAATTGTCAGTTATGCTTCAAAAACATTAACCACTCCAGCATGCCTATACACTGACACTTCTTGCTTCCTCATAAAAAAATTTCTGTTAAGAATGTGCTTTTCCTTAGAATTACAGCAGTGAATAACCCATACAAGCTTAGTGCATTTTTTGTGATCATAATAATAATAATAATAGTAATTATCCTTTAAAGATAACTTTCGTTTTTCCTTTTGGGCCACCCTGCCTCGGTGGGATATAACGGTTTGTTGAAAGAAGAAGAATTATCCTTTAATTTCCTAAAGTGCAAATATATGCTCTATATATTTGCACATATTTTATATCACACAGCTGCTGTGTATAAACCAATATGCTTTTTCAGGTGACAGGAGCTGGTCATGGAATTGGAAGGGAATTGGGACTTCAGTTTGCTCGTTTAGGAGCCCGAGTCGTGTGCTTGGATATTAATGAGGTTTGTGTCTGTCAACTTTGGTTCTCTGATCTTTCTTAACCAAAATTGTTTCTTAAAAAAAAAAAAAAAAAATTCCTAGTACTTATTATGCTGTCATTTTTGTTAAATTCATGTGATTACAGTGGAACCTCAGATTTCGTCTGGTGTGGATATCTTACAATTCGGATTTTGACCACTTTTGGCCAAAATTGCCCCTGGTTTTGCACCTCCACTCGGAAATTGTCCATACCAGACACTTCCACCTGGGCTGTTCATACGTTTGTGATACTAATACGTAATAATAATCACTCTTGGGCACATTAAATGTCTTATTTTAGGTTAATATAGGCATTTTCCTTAATCCATCTATGATATTTTCTTCAAAATTATGTAAGAAACACGTTACATAGCACATAAACATTCCTCTGTTACTCATTCACTAAGAGTGTCCTTCTAGTCTTAATGCCATAGTAATAATACTAATACATAATAATAATCACTCTTGGGCACATTAACCTTTAAACTGTCCAAGCATAGATCTACGTTTACCTGCATGGTGCTCTGAATATTTTGAAAAATAAAAAAAAATTTTTTTTTTTTTAGTTAAAGAGGGCAATTTTCTGTGTGCTATAAGACCAAAAAAAAAAATTAGGACCAGTACTTACCAAGATATAAACCTGGAAAGTTGGCTCTGGATGCTCATCTGATGGCACCATCCAGTCCTGCTGCTTGCAGAAGTGTTGCCGATTTACCTTTTTTTTTCTCATTTTTATTTTAATTTATATAATTTTTGTTCTGATAATTAAAATTTATAATAGTTCTTGTGATTTCATAGTCAATCTCTGTTCTGAAATAGTACTCAAATAGTAACAATCATACCAACAGGTGAACATTTTCACCTGCCTGGGTCATTTACTATTGTCTAGAAATACTATATACAAAGTAGTTATAAGTCTTTGCAATGTTTTAAACATGCTGGAGTATATATGAAACTCCTTGAAGAATGGTGTTATGACAAGCGAGATAACTGGTGACAGCCAGTGACATTTGATGAATGTGTGCTGCTGTAGGGAACCCTCGCCTTATTTGTTTTCTCTTTTTGTTTGTTTTTGCTGTTGCACACAAACATGTCTGTCTGTCTATCTATCTGTTTGTCTATCTGTCTGTCTATCTGTCTAGCTCTGCTTATCTATCTAGCTCTGTTTATCTGTCTTTCTGTCTGCCTGTGTGTGCCTGGAGTATATATATGAAACTCCTTGAAGAATGGTGTTATGACAAGCATCAGATAACCGGTGACAGCCAGTGACATTTGATGAATGTGCATTGCTGCAAGGAACCCTCGCTTTGCTTTCACTGTTGCACACAAACATGTCTGTCTGTATGTCTGTCAGTCTGTCTATGTCTGTTTATCTGTCTGCCTGTATGTGTCTGGCTTTCCATCTGTTTGTCTCTGTCTCAGGGAGCTAGTAAACCTGTTGGTTTGTGGTTTATGAGCTGCTCCTTGATTACTGAACAAGTGACAGTGCTATTAATTGCATATCCAATTTTTCTTTAAATCATTTGATGCCCTCATCACCTTACTCTTTTCTTTGTTCACTTTCAACTTTCTACCTTTACACACACTCCCAAACTCGTCCACTAACCTTTGCAGTTTTTCTTTAGAATCTCTCATAAGCACAGTATCATCAGCGAAAAGTAACTGTGTCAATTCCCATTTTGTATTTGATTCCCCATAATTTAATCCCACCCCTCTCCTGAACACCCTAGCATTTACTTCTTTTACAACCCCATCTATAAATATATTAAACAACCATGGTGACATTACACATCCCTGTCTAAGACCTACTTTTACCGGGAAGTAGTCTCCTTCTCTTCTACACACCCTAACCTGAGCCTCACTATCCTCATAAAAACTCTCTACAGCATTTAGTAACTTACCACCTATTCCACATACTTGCAACATCTGCCACATTGCTCCCCTATCCACTCTATCATATGCCTTTTCTAAATCCATAAATGCAATAAAAACTTCCCTACCTTTATCTAAATACTGTTCACATATATGCTTCAATGTAAACACTTGATCTACACATCCCCCTACCCACTCTAAAACCTCCTTGCTCATCCGCAATCCTACATTCTGTCTTACCTCTAATTCTTTCAATAATAACCCTACCGTACACTTTTCCTGGTATACTCAGTAAACTTATTCCTCTATAATTTTTACAATTTCTTTTGTCCCCCTTCCCTTTGTATAAAGGGACTATACATGCTCTCTGCCAATCCCTAGGTACCTTCCCCTCTTTCATACACTTATTAAACAAAAATACCAACCACTCCAACACTATATCCCCCCTCTGCTTTTAATATTTCTGTCATGATCCCATCAGTTCCAGCTGCTTTACCCCCTTTCATTCTACGTAATGCTTCATGCACCTCTCCCACACTCACATCTTGCTCTTCTTCACTCCTAAAGATTTTTTTTTTTTTTAACAAGTTGGCCATCTCCCACCAAGGCAGGGTGACTCAAAAAGAAAGAAAATCCCAAAAGAAAATACTTTCATCATCATTCAACACTTTCACCTCACTCATACATAATCACTGTTTTTGCAGAGGTGCCCAGAATACAACAGTTTAGAAGCATATACATGTACATATAAAGATACTACAACATATCCCTCCAAACTGCCAATTTCCCAAACCCCTCCTTTACAGTACTTATTTCCCATTTCCAGTACTCAAGTCCGGCTATATAAAAATAACTGGTTTCCCTGAATCCCTTCACTAAATATTACCCTTTGATATATACCTTTGAAGAATTTCGAGAGTATATCTACTCTCTGAGCCTGGCCATGGGCCAGGCTCATCTAGTCTAGTATGTGTAGTGTAACCTAAGTGTTAGTACAAGTAGGAAGATATACTGTTATCTCGTGTGTTTGAGACAGAAAAAGACACCAGCAATCTTACCATTATGTTAAACAATTACAGGTTTCTGTTTCACACTCACTTGGCAAGACGGTAGTACCTCCCCGGGTGGTTGCTGTCTACCAACCTACTACCTATACTCTTTTAGAGTATAGTGAGATATGTTGTGGTAAGAGACTGGGATTACTCTTTAGATCACCCTGAGATCAATTCATATCCAATTTGTATAATTCTTTCTTCTTTCTTTCAACACACCGGCCGTATCCCACCGAGGCGGGGTGGCCCAAAAGGAAAAACGAAAGTTTCTCCTTTTACATTTAGTAATATATACAGGAGAAGAGGTTACTAGCCCTTGCTCCGGCATTTTAGTCGCCTCTTACAACACGCATGGCTTACGGAGGAAGAATTCTGTTCCACTTCCCCATGGAGATAAGAGGAAATAAACAAGAATAAGAACTAGAAAGAAAATAGAAGAAAACCCAAAGGGGTGTGTATATATGTGCTTGTACATGTATGTGTAGTGTGACCTAAGTGTAAGTAGAAGTAGCAAGACGTACCTGAAATCTTGCATGTTCATGAGACAGAAAAAAGGACACCAGCAATCCTACCATCATGTAAAACAATTACAGGCTTTCGTTTTACACTCACTTGGCAGGACGGTAGTACCTCCCTGGGCGGTTGCTGTCTACCAACCTACTACCTATACTCTTTTAGAGTATAGTGAGATATGTTGTGGTAAGAGACTGGGATTACTCTTTAGATCACCCTGAGATCAATTCATATCCAATTTGTATAATTCTATTTTTATATTAAACCAGGCAAACAACAAGAAAACAGTAACAGACATCAGCAAGGAAGGTGGAAGCGCTTGGGGTTATAAGTGTGATGTGAGCTGTAAGGAAGATGTCCATGCAGTATCAAACAAGGTATGTTTCATGTGTTATCTTCATGATATTTAGATATTGGCAGTTTGGAGGGATATGTTGTGTATCTTTATATGTATATGCTTCTAAACTGTTGTATTCTGAGCACCTCTTCAAAAACAGTGATAATGTATGAGTGTGGTGAAAGTGTTGAATGATGATGAAAGTATTTTCTTTTTGGGGATTTTCTTTCTTTTTTGGGTCACCCTGCCTTGGTGGGAGACGACCGACTTGTTGAAAAAAAAAAAAAAATTTAGAATTGAAGAGTTAGGTCTAGGTCATCATTATATGTTACATAAACACCATCAGTTTTATATATTATGCTCATACTCCAGCTGCAGGATCAATGAAACATGAGACCATGCAGCTTCAATGTAGACTCATCCACGTTTGGGTTGAACTCTGCACTAAGTTCATTGAAGCTCAGATGATGGCATATGTGATGGATAATATTGTTAGTAGAGGACAGTGTTTCTCTTTTAACATTATTATCCATATAATGCACCATCATCAGAGCTTCACTGAACATAGTGCAGAGTTTGACACAAAGGTGGAGGAGCTCACTCTTGGAGTTGCATGTCTCCACATGTAATTGGTGTATAAGTTTTCCCAAATTATCTAGAGTCCAGACTTCAACCATCTATTGCCATACGTTCTAATGAACAGACGTTTGCCTGCAGCTAGCATTGTAACTTACCTTACAGACTATAGGTATGTCTTCATATGCTGAATATCATCTTCTTCCCCTACCTTATATTTTGTACTCTTTTCTTTTTTTCACACATCAGCCATCTTCCACCAAGGCAGAGTGACCCAAAAGAAAGAAAAACCCAAAAAGAAAGAAGAAGCTTTCACCATCAGTCACCACTTTCACCGTCACTCATACATAATCACTGTCTTTGCAGAGGCATCCAGATATGATAGTTTAGATAGTCAATCCACACTGCCAATATCCCAAATCCTCTCCTTTAAAGTGCAGGCATTGTACTTCCCATTTCCAGGACTCAAGTCCAGCTAACCAGTTTCCCTGAATCCCTTCACAAAATGTTACCCTGCTTGCACACCAACAGCTCGTCAGGTCCCAAAAACCATTCGTCTCCATTCACTATCAAACACACTCATGCACACTTGCTGGAAATCCAAGCCCCTCGCCCATAAAACCTTTACCCTCTCCCTCCAATCTTCTCGAAGACGACCCCTACCCTGCCTTCTTTTCCCTACAGATTCATACGTTCTCCAAGTTATTCTACTTTGTTCCATTCTCTCTTAATGACCAAACCACCTCAACATCACCTCTTCAGCCCTATGACTAATACTTTTAGTAACTCCACACCTCCTCCTAATTTTCACACTACAAATTCTCTGCATATTTACACCACACTGTCCTTAGACAGGATATCTCCACTACCTCCAGCCACCTCCTTGCTCTGCAGCATTTACAACCCAAGCTTCACACCCCATATAAGAGTGTTGGTACTACTATACTTTCGTACATTCCCTTCTTTGCCTCCATGGATAACACACCACTCACCTTTTTTTCTTCATCAGTTTTATGGTTAACCTCAGCCTTCATAAACCTATCCGTTGACAAATCAATTCCCAAATACCTGAAAACATTCACTTCTTCGATACTCCCTCTCTCCAATGTGATATCCAATTTTTCTTTAAATTGTTTGATACAGTCATCACCTTACTCTTATCTATATTCGCTTTCAGCTTTCTACCTTGGAAATAAATGGTATAAAATACCGACACAATGGAAATATAAACACATATGCAGTATAATGTGATCCTTTATTGACTACGTTTCGCCCACACAGTGGGCTTTTTCAAGTCACAAACAGAACTTGAAAAAGCCCACTGTGTGGGCGAAACGTAGTCAATAAAGGATCACATTATACTGCATATGTGTTTATATTTCCAGCTTTCTACCTTACACACATTCCCAAACCTGGTATACTCAGTAAACTTTTTTTTTTTTTTCAACAAACTGGCCATATCCCACCAAGGCAGGGTGGCACATAAAGAAAAACGAAAGTTTCTCTTTTTAAATTTAGTAATTTGTACAGAAGTAGTTACTAGGCCCTTGCTCCCGGCAATTTAGTCACCACTTACAACACGCATGGCTTACAGAGGAAGAATTCTGTTCCACTTTCCCATGGAAATAAGACGAAATAAACAAGAACAAGAACTAGAAAGAAAATAGAAGAAAACCCAGAGGAGTGTGTATATACTATATGCTTGTACATGTATGTGTAGTGTGACCTAAGTTTAAGTAGAAGTAGCAAGACGTACCTGAAATCTTGCATGTTTATGAGACAGAAAAAAAGACATCAGCAATCCTACCATCATGTAAAACAATTACAGGTTTCCGCTCTACACTCACTTGGCAGGACGGTACTACCTCCCTGGGCAGTTGCTGTCTATCAACCTACTACCTACACTCAGTAAACTTCTTTCTTCTTTCAACACACTGGCCGTATCCCACCAAGGCAGGGTGGCCCAAAAGGAAAAACAAAAGTTTCTCTTTTTACATTTAGTAATATATACAGGAGAAGGGGTTACTAGCCCCTTGCTCCTGGCATTTTAGTCGCCTCTTACAACACGCATGGCTTACAGAGGAAGAATTCTGTTCCACTTCCCCATGGAGATAAGAGGAAATAAACAAGAACAAGAACTAGAAAGAAAATAGCAGAAAACCCAGAGGGGTGTGTGTATATATATGCTTGTACATGTATTTGCAGTGTGACCTAAGTGTAAGTAGAAGTAGCAAGACATACCTGAAATCTTGCATGTTTATGAGACAGAAAAAAGGACACCAGCGATCCTACCATCATGTAAAACAATTACAGGCTTTCGTTTTACACTCACTTGGCAGGATGGGAGTACCTCCCTGGGCAGTTGCTGTCTACCAACCTACTACCTAGGACTCAGTAAACTTATACCCCTATAATTTTTACACACTCTTTTGTCCTTCTTCCCTTTATATAAAGGAACTATACACGCTGTTTGCTGATCCCTAGGTACCTTTCCCTCTTTTATACGTTTATAAAACAAAAATATCAACCACCCCAACACTATCCTCTTCCCTGCTTTTAACAATCTGTCTTGATCATGTCAGTTCCAGCTGCTTTACCCCCTTTCATTCTAAGCAAGCAAGCAAGATATTCTAGGTAAGACCCCGATGGGGTGAGCGGGGAAGACTGGATAGACAAAGACCAGATCTTGAGAGGAGTGTCCTTAGTCTTAGAGAAAGAGCCAGGGCTTAACCAGCAGCAGAGTTGTGTGTAAAGGAGTTTGTGGGAAGGGGCTTGAGAGTCAGGATATGCAGGCAAGCTTGATCGATGACTTGGGAGCACTGCGGTGTGCATCTCATCAGCGTGGTGTTGCCTAGCTTGTAATTGGTGGAGACTGGCTGGCGAGAGGTGGGCTGGAGGCGGCGACTAGTGATGATGTGACTTATGTACCATCGTCCCAGGTAGTGTAGGAACCGTTGTTAATTCTTCTAAATGCTGATTTTGAGAGCAGGATAAGTTTTACCCGGTGCTGTTTGTCGTTGCGTAGGTCTTCTAGTAAGGCGTTGGCGGTCTGTAGGTCGGTATTTTGTGCAACAGTGTACTTGACGTGTCCAAACTGTATGCTGTATATAACTTGGGCTGAGTGCAGGATCTGGCAGTCTTGCATGAATGTGTACAGGGTGATAGGCACGGTAGGTCTGAGGTTCAGGTCTGCTATCATTGTTTCTAATGGTGGTGGAGTTTCTTGTGGTGGATTTTCAGGTGGAAGTATTTTGGCTTTTTTTGCCATCGGTGATTGAAGTGGAGATGGGGAGAGTAAGTCGGCGGTGGTGGTGGCGGTCTCAGGTAGATCAGGTGAGGCTGCTGATTGGTCAGTGGCTGCGGTGGAGTTTGTTGTTGTTGTTGTTGTTGTATCTTGCGTTGTGGTTACAGGAGTGGTAATATTTTCTGGTGCTTGGGTGAGCTTGATTATGTCAGCAGAAGGTGGAGAGTCTGGGAATTTGAATGCCGGCATGTTGTTTAGTCTGAAAAGTTCATTGATGGTAGTGTTGAAGGAGCCTGGTGCTGCCATGTTGTGCATGTGAGCATACAGTAGGCAGTACTGTATTTTGGTGGAGTCACATGCAGGTGTGGAGATAGTGGTGGTGGAGTGCTGGGTTGATTTCAGGAGTTTGGTGGTGTCAGCCTGCAGCTTGGTGATAGCAGCATACGTGGGTGATCTAGGTGGTGCCTTCTTCTGTTCTGCTTCAATGTTCTTTTTAATGATTTCTCGGTGAGTGGGACACTTAGCAGCGAGAGTGTGATGGTCGTTTTTGCAGTTAAGACACTTAAGTGGAGCAGCGGAAGTACATGCTTTGGAGTCATGTCCCTCAGAACCACAGGTGGAGCACAACTTCTTGTCCTTGGTGGGGCAGTCTTTTGATGAGTGAAGGTATGAGTAACAGTTCCAGCATTGGGTAACATGATGGTGTCGCTCAGCTTCAATGTGGTTGGTGTTGATAAAGTAGTAGTATATAGCTAGTCCCTCAGTAGTAGCTTGGGAAGCTATCGTGACGTCAGTGAAGATAATCTTTAGCATTGATGAGGCCGTGGGAATCTTGGTAATGCTTTCCACTTTTGCCCATGGGTTCTGCTCTTCGACAGATTTCTTGAGATCTTCGGTTGTTTGTGTCATAATCAGTTTATCCAGGCACTTCAGAAAAACAATTCTTTTAGCCCTTAAGGCTGGAGAGGACATGATCCTGCAGCCACGTTCTTCGAGAGTGGTCAGGGCAGGTGCAGTCAGCAATTTCTCAGCCTCCACATCATCTTCACAGACAACAATGAAGGATTCTTGGAGGGATAGGATGGTGTTAATCTTGACAGTCAGTCCCTTGACAACCACGGCAAGGGCAAGCTTGGTGGAGTCATTGATCAGACCACAGGATGGTTTGGTCTTGACTCTGTAAAGTAACTCATCTTGAAATAGATCGATGTCGAGGTAGAGGTTCCCCTCCCCAACAGGGATCGCAGGGACACTTCTTCTGTCTTGCTTTCATTCTATGTAATTCCTCATGCACCTCCCCCACACATCCTGCTCTTCTTCACTCCTAAAAGATGTTATACCCCCCTGGCCAGTGCATGAAATTACCACCTTCCTTTCTTCATCAACATTTAAAAGTTCCTTAAAATATTCCCACCATCTACCCAATACCTACAGCTCCCCTACTCTGTTTTTAACTGACAAATCCATTTGTTCCCTAGGCTTTCTTCACTTGTTTATCTCACTCCAAAATTTTTTCATATTAGCAAAATTTGACAGTGCCTCTCCCACTATCATCTGCTCTCCTTTTGCACTTTCTCACCACTCTCTTCACCTTTTACTTTCTGTATACTCTGTCCTTCTTATATCACTTCTGCTGTGTAAAAACCTCTCATAAGCTACCTTTTTCTCTTTTATCACACCCTTTACTTCATCATTCCACCAATCACTCCTCTTTCCTCCTACACCCACCCTCCTATAGCCACAAACTTCTGCCCCACATTCTGATACTGCATTTTTAGAACTATCCCATCCCTCTTCAACCCCCCCCTTCTCCCCCACTACCCATACTTGCACTAGCCCACCTTTCTGCCAATAATTGCTTATATTTCACCCTTAGTTTATAAACTTTCACTTCTCTCTTACTTTCTGTTGACTTTTTCCTTTTGTCCCATGTACCTCTTACTCTAACTGTAGCTACAACTAAATAACGATCCGATATATCCGTTCTCTCTCTATAAACATGTACATCCTGAAGCCTACCCTTCAGTCTTTTATCCACCAATACATAATCTAACAAATTACTTTCATTACGTGCTATATCATACCATGTATACATATTTATCCTCTTTTTCATAAAATATGTATTACTTATTGCTGAACCTCTTTCTACATGTAGTTCAGTTAAAGGCTCCCCATTTTCACTTACCCTTGGCACCCCAAATTTACCTACTACTCCCTATAGAACATTTTTACCCACTTTAGCATTGAGATCCCCAACCATAAGTACTTTCTCACTTGGTTCAAACCTCCCCACACATGCACTCAACATTTCCCAAAATCTCTCTCTCTCCTCTACACATCTCTCTTCTCTAGGTGCATATATGCTTTCTATCATCCACTTTTCACATCCAACCTTTATTTTACTCCACATAATCCTTGAATTTATACATTTATAGTCCCTCTTTTCCTGCCATAACTTATCCTTCAACATTATTGCTACTCCTTAGCTCTAATTCTATTAGAAACCCCTGACCTAATCCCATTTATTTCTCCACACAGAAACTCTCCTACCCCCTTTAGCTTTGTTTCACTTAAAGCCAGGACATCCAGCCTCTTTTCATTCATAATGTCCACAATCATGTCTTATCATTCACATAGCATCCACACACATTCAAACATCCCATTTTGACAGTTTGCTTATTTTTCTTTTTAGTAAGCTATACAGGAAAAGGGGTTACTAGCCCATTACTCCTGGCATTTTAGTTTACAGCATGCATGGCTTATGGGGAAAAGATTCTTATTCCACTTCCCCATGGATATGAAAGAAAAAGCAATAAGAACAAGAACTATTAAGATAAAAATCAAAGAAAACTCAGATGAGTGAGTATAAATAAACATGTACATGTATGTGCAGTGTGACCTAAGTGTAAGTAGAAGTAGCAAGACATACCTTATATCTTGCATGTTTATGAAACAGAGAAAAGACACCAGCAATCCTACCATCACATAAAACAATTAGAGGCTTCCGTTTTACACTCACTTGGCAGGACAGTAGTACTTCCCTGGGTAGTTGCTGTCTACCAACCTACTAAAGTACTACAGTACTACTACATTTTGTACTCATTTTCACCATTTATTGTGTCCTGTTAAGCTCCTGCACATTTGTGATATGGTTTTTCTCTTAAGGCTCCATTTTTTTTTATTCCTTGTATTCTGTTTGAGTTGTTTTGAATGTTGTGCTTATTGGTACATCTTTTACTGCTTCTTCTTACATAATGCTTAATAAGCACATTGTTATATAGGTAGTAGGTTGGTAGACAGCAGGCACTCAGGGAGGTACTACCATCTTGTCATGTGAGTGTGAAACGGAAGCCTGCACCTGTTTTACATGATGGTAGGATTGCTGGTGTCTTTTCTCTGTCTCACAAACATGCAAGATTTCAGGTACATTTTGCTACTTCTACTTACACTTAGATCACACTACATATACATGTACAAGCATATATATACACACCCCTCTGGGTTTTCTTCTATTTTCTTACCAGTTCTTGTTCATTTCCACTTATCGCCATGGGGAAGTGGAACAGAATTCTTCCTCCGTAAGCCATGCGTGTTGTAAGAGGCGACTAAAATGCTGGGAGCAAGGGGCTAGTACCACTTCTCCTGTATAAATGACTAAATTTAAAAAGAGAAACTTTCGTTTTTCTTTTTGGGCCACCCTGCCTTGGTGAGATACGGCCAGCTTGTTGAAGAAAGAAAAATACATATACACACCCTTCTAGGTTTTTTCTATTTTCTTCGTAGTTCTTGTTCTTCTTTAGTTCCTCTTATCTCCATGGGGAAGTGGAAAATAATTCTTCCTCTGTATGCTCTGCATGTTGAAGGAGGCGACAAAAATGACGGGAGCAAGGGGCTATTAACCCCCTTTCCTGTATAAATTATTAAATTTAAAAAGAAAAACTTTTGTTCTTCTTTTTAGGTCACCCTGCCTTGGTGGGATGCAACTGGTTCGTTGAAAAAAAAAATGTACATTGTTACTCCTGTTACTTCCATTATTGTTCTGTCTCATATTGGGGTGCTTGGTATCTGTACCATACTCTTGTTCTGTCCAGTTATGGTAGTGTGCATAATGGTAAGAGGTGTTATGATTTTTTATTTTGTATTAAGAATGCCACATTTTGCAAGTGCCTCTGTGGGTAGCATAGATAGGGCAAATGCCCTCTCTATGCTACCCACTCCTTTCAATATTTGCCTTTGTTTCTTTGAATTTCGTTGTCTGCATGAAAAAAGTTTTTTCATTTTTTCATTTGCATTTCTGTATTATTTTGTACTTTTCCACAGAACTCTGGGAATATATAAACCATCAGATTCTCTTGTGTGATAACTTACATATCCCACAGTGAAAAATGCCATACCATTATTTATTATGAAACTTAGATTATTCCCTCTTTAATATATGTACATTTCCAGGAGTGTCAATATCTGCACTTACTTCCATTTTCTGTTCTGTAGTAATAGTCTTTATTGAGTGTTTCCTTAGATGCTGAAATTTCACATTTTTGTGGCACTGTCACCTTCATTTTGTTTCCTATTTCTATGTCTATTTGTTTTAGTTTCATCTTTGTTGTTATATCTTCCTACCATTTTACTATTTATCTTCTGAAACGTGAGTATTGCTGATGAATTCTGTACAATAAACTTAAAGATAGAGGAGCTTGTATAACCCCTGGTTCTTAACGCAACATAATCCTCATAAATTGCAAGGGTTACGGTACTGATTTGTTTTTTATAGATAAATGTCATGGCATACACAGTACAGTATTATTGTACTAAACTTTTTGTTAATGGTTTTGTGTATACAATATTTAATAATTGCGGGGCTTTTTTTTATTTAAGATCCGCAAAGAAGTAGGGGAGGTAACTATCCTGGTAAACAATGCTGGTATCATGCCATGCAAGCCATTCCTCAGACACACTCCTGAGGAAGTCATCAACATCTTTAGAATCAACGTGTTTTCTCATTTCTGGGTGAGTATAAACTGGGGTTTATGTGCTTTATGAAATATCAGTGTACTTAAATATTGCATGACAGTTAAATGACTTTCACACCAATTTACTCAGCCTTTAGAATCTTGCATATAATGTCACTCATTGTTGCAAAAATATTGTAACATGAAACTTGCATTAAATTGAAATTGCAATTAAGTGGTTGGGCAAGGTTTATATGATTGAAGTTAAGTTTTGTAATCATGTAACAGTTTTGTAACAGTTTGAATATTCATTCATTGTGTTGTAAGATGTGTTGATGGACATTTTTAGTTAGAGATCATTATTTATATCAGAGATCTGGTGCTGTTGTTAAGATTATAATATCCTGCAAATGCTGATTAAATGAGCAAATTGACCAAATAATAAAGTCGAGTACCTAATGCACCATAGAATGTTACCATAGACTTGTTTCATGGGGCACTAACATCAAGGAAAGTATGGGTGCTAATTGCAGTTCAAAAGTAAATACAAGTGCAATATACTTTTTACATAGCTGCAGTTCTGCTATTATTCACTCTTTTATTACATAATTATAAATGTGATTCAAACACTTAAAATTATTCATAATACAATATGGCAGTTTTTCAGCTATTTTTTATATGGATTAAATTCAGGACATTGTTATTTTAACACCCTTTGCCAGAAATACATAAACATCATAATTGAAATAACTCTCTGAACTGCATATTCCCCACCTCTCCTTCAGAGTGCAGGCACTGTGCTTCCCTTCTTCACAGTTTAAGTCTGGCTAGCCAATTTTTCTAAAGTCCCTTTATGAATGTTACTTTGCTCACACTCCAACAGTATGTTATGTCATAAAAGCCACTTCTCCACTCACTCTTGCCTAACACACTATTGCAGTAATTTTTTTTTAACTCGACTGTCATCTTCCGCCAAGGCAGGGTGTCCCAAAAAGAAAAGGCATTCACTAACACTCATTCAGTTGCCATCTTTCCAGAAGCATGCTGACATCACAATCAGATTACCTTCCTGCAACATCCCCATCCCTCCTTTAGAGTTTGGGTACTACCCTTCCCACCTTCAGGAATCAAGTTTGGCTAACCAGTTTCCCTGAATAAGTTACCTTCCTCACACTCCAACAGCATATCCATTAAAACCCACTTGTCTCCATTCACTCCTGTTTAACATGCTCACACAAGCCTGCTGGATGCTCAAGCCTCTAAAACTTAAAGCCTCTTTTACTCTCCTCCCTCCAACCATTCCTGGAACATCCCCCCCACCCCTCCTACCTCCTAACCCAGGTTTATACACCCTCTTTGTCAGCCTATCCTTGTCCACCCCTCAACATGCTCAAAACCCTTCAACAACCCATCCTCAGCCCTTTAAATTATACCCTTGGTAATCCCACATCATCATATAATTTCTACACTCTGAATTCTCTGCATGATACTCATGTCACACACATTGCTTTTAAACATGATATTTCCAATGCCTGTAGCTTCCTCACTGTAGCATTCAAAACCCATGCCTCACACTAATATAAAAATGTTAATATCACTATTTCTTCTTCTGCTTCTTCTTTTCCTTCTTTCTTCTTCTTTTTCTTATGCACACTATTCTTATTATTATTCTGCATAAGCAAACTACCATTCACACTGTTTTAAGTTGATTATTTATATTGGCTGTATTCTGTAAGGTTAACACCATAAAGCATCTTTAGTTTTGGGCATGATTAGGGACACTATTACCACTATGCACTTCTACTGGATTGTGAAACTAGCATCAAGGAGAATTTTCAGTTATGTTGCTAAGTTAGGGTTGGGCAAGGTTATGATTGGATTGGTTTAATTAGGCAATGATAGGATAGGCTTGTAGTTAGGCTGGTTTAGGTGCCAGAATAAGATTGAATTTAATGTCAGTTTTCTACTTCTGAAAAACTAATACAAAATGAGTCTAGTGTTATGGTTTTTGTTTTTTTATCTTGCTGTACAGACTGTTCAAGAATGGTTACCATCTTTCATGACAGCTGGCCGTGGTCATGTTGTTGCTGTATCTTCTATTGCTGGCCTCATGGCAACGTCTAACCTTGTCCCATATTGTTCATCAAAATATGCTGTTAGAGGTAAGATTATAAAAACTACAATTTTTTTTTTTTATTGATATTAACACATCAGCCGTTTCTCACCAAGGCGGGGTGACTTGAAAAAGAAGAAACACTTTTATCATTACTCCCTCCATCACTGTCTTAACAGAGGTGTGCCTACGGTACAGTTAAAAACTGCAACATTTCAACACCCCTTCAGAGTGCAGGCATTGTACCTCTGCCTTTTGGATAATACTTTTTAGAAACCCTGCACCTCCTCCTAATCTCCAGGCTACAGATTCTCTGCATTATATTCACACCACACATTGCCCTCAGACACTACATCTCCACTGCCTCCAGCCTTCTCCTTTTTGCAACATTCACCACCTATGCTTCACACCCATATAAGAGCGTTGATACCACTATACTCTCGTACATTCCCTTCTTTGCTTCCATGAATAACGTTCTTTATCTCCACAGACTCCTCAGTGCTCCATTCACCTTTTTTCCCTCATCAATTCTATGATTTGCCTCATTTTTCATAGACCCATCTGCTGAAAAGTCCACTCCAGATATCAAAATACATTCATTTCCTCTAGACTCCCTCCCTCCAGTCTGATATCCAATCTTTCATTACCTAATTTTTTTGTATCCTCATCACCTTGCTCTTTCCTATGTTCACTTTTAATTTCCTTCTTTTACATACCTTCCAAACTCATTCACAAACTTCTTGAACTTCTCTTCAGAATCTCCCAAAAGCACAGTGTCATCAGCAAAGAGTAACTGTGACAACTCCCACTGCGTGTTAGATTCTTTATCTCTTAATCCCACACCTCTTGCCTACTCCTGAGCATTCACTTCTCGTACAACCCCATCTATAAATATATTGAACAACTGTGGTAACATCATGCATCCCTCTCTAAGGCCTACTTTTTCTGGGAAATAATCTCCCTCTCTCCTACATGCTCTAACCTGAGCCTCACTGTTCTCATAAAAACTCTTAACTGCTTTCAGTAACCTACCTCTTATTCCATACATTTGCAACATTGGCCACATTTCTTTCCACTCCACCCTGTCTTATTTACCCCGGAGAGAGTTCCGGGGGTCAACGCCCCCGTGGCCCGGTCTGTGACCAGGCCTCCTGGTGGATCAGAGCCTGATCAACCAGGCTGTTACTGCTGGCTGCACGCAATCCAACGTACGAGCCACAGCCCGGCTGGTCAGGTGCCGACTTTAGGTGCTTGTCCAGTGCCAGCTTGAAGACTGCCAGGGATCTATTGGTAATCCCCCTTATGTATGCCTTTTCCACATCCATAAATGCAACAAAAACCTCTTTTTCCTTATCTAAATACTGTTTACCTATATGCTTCACTGTAAACACTTGGTCTACACATCCCTACCCTTCCTACAGCCTCCTTATTCATCTGTGATCCTACTCTCCCTCTTACTCTTAATTCTTTGAATAATAACTCTACCATACACTTTACTAAGTATATTCAACAGGCTTATTCCCTTATACTTTTTACATTCTCTTTTGTCCCCATTGCCTTTATACAAAGGAACTATGCATACTCTCTGCCAATCCTTAGGTACTTTACCCTCTTCCATACTTTTATTAAATAAAAACACTAACCACTCCAACACTATATCCCCACCTGCTTTTAACATTTCTGTCTTTATCCCACCAATCCCAGCTGCTTTACCCCCTTTCATTCTACCCACTTCCCCCACACTCCTCCTTGCCCTATACACAAAATCACAGCTTCCCTATCTTCATCAACATTTAACAATTCCTCAAAATATTCCCTCCATCTTCCCGATACCTCTAACTCTCCTTTTAACAACTCTCCTCTCTTATTTTTAACTAACAAATTTATTCATTCCCTAGACTTTCTCAACTTATTAATCTCACTCCAAAACTTTTTCTTATTTTCAACAAAATTTGTTGATAACATCTCACCCACTCTCTCATTTGCTCTCGTTTTACATTTCTTCACCACTCTCTTAACCTCTCTTTTTCTCTCCATATACTCTTCCCTCCTTGCATCACTTCTACTTTGTAAAAAATCTCACATGCTAACTTTTTCTCCTTACTACTCTGTTTACATCATCATTCCACCAATCGCTCTTCTTACCTCCAACAACCACTTTCCTGTAACCACAAACTTCTGCTGAACACTCTAACACTATATTCTTAAACTTACCCCATATATCTTCTACCTCATTACCTATACTCACAGCACCCCATCTGTCCTCCAACAGTTGTTTATATCTTACCCTAACTGCCTCCTCCTTTAGCTCATAAACCTTCACCTCTCTTTTACTTGATGCTTCCATTTTCCTTGTATCCCATCTACCTTTTACTCTCACTGTTTATTTATTTATTTTGAAGATACAGCTGTATCCCACCAAGGCAGGGTGACCTAAAAAGAGAAACAAAAGTTTCTCTTTTTAGGTCACAGAAGAATGGATTACTAGCTCCTTGCTCATGGCATTTTAGTCGCCTCTTACGACACGCATGGCTTATGGAGGAAGAATTCTGTTCCACTTTTCCATGGAGATAAGAGGAAATAAACAAGAATAAGACATATTAAAAAACTAAGAAAACCCAGAGGAGTATGTATATATGTGTGTGCACATGCACGTGTAGTGTGACCTAAGTGCCAGTAGAAGTAGCAAGATATGTTTGGTATCCCAGATGTTTGTGAGACAGAAAAGACACCAGCAATCCTATCATCACGTAAAACAATTACAGGTTTCCGTTTCACGCTTATATGGGTGGTTACTGTCTACCAACCTACTACCCAAAAATTATATATGGAAGAGAAATTTGCTCAAGTGATATTAATAATGAATGGTATCCATATCAATAAATCTTCATTCTTTCTTTCAACACACCGGCCGTATCCCACCAAGGCAGAGTGGCCCAAAAAGAAAAACAAAAGTTTCTCTTTTTAAATTTTAGTAGTTTATATGGGAGAAGGGGTTACTAGCCCCTTGCTCCCAGCATTTTAGTCGCCTCTTACAACACACATGGCTTACGGAGGAAGAATTCTGCTCCGCTTCCCCATGGAGATAAGAGGAAATAAACAAGAAGAACTAGAAAGAAAATAGAAGAATACCTAGAGGGGTGTGTATATATATGCTTGTACATGTATGTGTAGTGTGACCTAAGTGTAAGTAGAAGTAGCAAGATGTACCTGAAATCTTGCATGTTTATGAGTCAGACAAAAGACACCAGCAATCCTACCATCATGTAAAACAATTACAGGCTTTCGTTTTACACTCACTTGGCAGGACGGTAGTACCTTCCTGGGCGGCTGCTGTCTACCAACCTACTACCTAGGATATCAATAAATATCATACTTTATTGGGAAGTATGATTGATTTTTAAAACAGCAAGTACAGTACTGGTAAATAATATATTGGACTGTTTGAAACATCAGTAAATATCAGTACTCTGTTAAAACACAAGATATATTTTATCAAGTGGTGGGTAAATCCTATTCATATAGCTTATTAAGATAACCTTTCATTTGTCTAGGTTTGATGGATGGCCTGACAGAGGAGATGCGTTATGCTGGAAGGAATCCAAACATTAAATTCACACGTGTTCATCCATTTATTGTTGACACAGGCCTTGCTAAGAAACCACGTATTAGGTACGTAGCATGTTTTATATAGCTACAGTGTTTAATAACTGCTTTTTGTATCAGCAAGAGCAGTCATATATAAGGAAATAATATTTTATATTCTAATTCTCATTTTTAACTTTAATCATTAACCCTTTGACTGTCGCGGCCGTATATATACGTCTTACGAGGTACCGTGTTTGACGTATATATACTCATAAATTCTAGCGGCTTCAAATCAAGCAGGAGAAAGCTGGTAGGCCCACATGTGAGAGAATGGGTCTGTGTGGTCAGTGTGCACCATACAAAAAAAATCCTGGCGCACGCAGTGCATAATGAGAAAAAAAAAACTCCGACTGTTTTTTTTAATTAAAATGCCGACTTTGTGGTCTATTTTCGTATAGTATTTATGGTTGTATTCTCGTTTTCTTGGTCTCATTTGATAGAATGGAAAACATATTATGGAAATAGAGGTGATTTTGATTGATTTTACTATAAAAAGAACCTAGAAATGGAGCTCAAAGTAGGGGAAATGTTTGATTTTTGCCAATGTTCAAAAGTAAACAAATGATGCCATTGTCTAATAAATGTCCAACTAGCCATTCTAATATGCAGTCACGAGTGGGTTGATGTTATTTATACAATTATTACAGTACTGCAGTAGTCTGCATAATAGTAAGTCTTCTATTTTTTGTTTGAATAAAAATTCAAAATAGAAAGCAAGAGTAATATCAGAGGGGCCTGGAGACATGACTGATGAACAAAGAAAATGTTATTTTAGAGCCAGGAATGTCTGCATTGTTCATTCTGGACCTTATTTTGAAATTGTCATATTTTTTAGTTTTTGTGAAATTGGCCAAATTGCAAATTTCTGACCACATTATTAGGTAGTTGAAATCGGTAAATGGGCAGTTTCTTGTACTCAATCGATAGAAAAAATGGAGTTCTAAAGAAATAACTATGAGTTTGGGCGACTGGAACAATGGAATTAGCCGAAAATAGGGCTCAAAGTGGGCGAAATCGCCGACTTGTAAACAGCGCCGGGGTCGCTAATTTCGCGAGAGCATAATTCTGTCAGTTTTCCATCAAATTTCGTTTTTTTGGTGTCATTACAATCGGGAAAAGATTCTCTATCATTTCACAAGAAAAAATATTTTTTTTTTTTTTTAAATTTTGCGACACCAGGAGACACCTCAGGATTGGGGGTTGCGACAGTCAAAGGGTTAATAGTGTGCAGTGTTATGACTTACATTCCTAGCTTGTGTGTTTAGTCTGAGTACCTGAGTTAGTGCTTCCTGTAAAATATGTGGACTTGTTAACACTGTGGCCATGGAACATTAGTGGATTATACTACACTTATTTTAAATAATTTACAGTGTATCCTAGTACATCTACGACATTGTATGAGAGTGTAAACATGTTATCAGGCTTTATATTCATTTGAAAGTGAAAAAAGCTATGATTCACTTTACAGTGATTTTCATTTTACAGCAGTAGCCTGTACATACAGTAGGGTCCCGCTTACAGCATTCCGCTAATACTGCAATTTCAAATTATGACCAAAACTTTCTATGCAGCGAGCAGTCTTTCAAATGCGGCACGTGCCACCTGGTTTGTTTACATTCTTCGTGACCACATTTCTCTATTATGTAATAATAATCACTCTTTGGCACATTAAATGTCTTATTATATGTTAATATAGACATTTTCATTAATCCATCTATATTTTCTTCAAAATTATGTAAGAAACACTTTACATAGTATATAAACCTTTTATGTTTATATACTATAGAGGTGTGGTATTCAAGCGGAGAGAAAACATTATGTCACTCCCCTTAATACGTAACACTTTTGTTTATAATTCTCGGAATGACTTGTTCATTACTTCTCCCTTTGTTTATGATGGCATCTAAAGGTAGTTGATAGAAACGATTAAACTCAGTGAACATGGTATGTCGATGGTAATAATATGGCTCTGGGCCACATTAAATATCATGTAGCTATGTGGGGAGGTGTAGCTATGTGGGTAGCTATGTGGGGAGGTGTAGCTATGTGGGTAGGTGTAGCTATGTGGGGAGGTGTAGCTATGTAGGTAGGTGTAGGTATGTAGCCCAGGCAGACTACAAACCTACATTATTATTATAACTGATAATTATACTTATGTGTACCTGTACCTAAGTAAACTTACACACTGTGCTGGCATGCACAGTGTGTAATAATAATAATAATAATAACACAATAATAATCACTCTGAGGCGCATTAAATATCGTATAAAATGTTAATATGAACATTTTGATTAATCCATCTAAATACACCCCACAGTAGAATAAATTAACATAAATATGAGATGTGGTATCCAGGTGACTTGTAGGACTTGTGGTAGCCAGGCGACATGTAGGACTTGTGGTAGCCAGGCAACTTGTAGGATTTGTGATAGCCAGGCGACTTGTAGAACTTGAGGTAGCCAGGCGACTTGTAGGACTTGTGGTAGCCAGGCGACTTGTAGGACTTGTGGTAGCCAGGTGACTTGTAGAACTTGAGGTAGCCAGGCGACTTGTAGGACTTGTGGTAGCCAGGCGACTGGGGGTAGCCAGAAAATTATTCCTTTCGTAGGCCTTCACTCAGGGCATCATTTCTTCTAAAAATGGTGTTACATGAGAATGTGTTTATCTTTATTTATTTTACTGTATCAACGTGGAGACAACTTGTACACAACGTAAAGTAACAAAAACCAAATGTGTTCGTCTGGTTTGTTTACATTACGTGTGGGTGGGGTGGGGTGGTGAGGGCTGCCCTTCCTGGCTACCCATACTTCCCAACCTGACTTCCTACAAAAAAAAAAAAAAAAATTCACCTCTCACCCTACATAAAGACTACAAATATTTTAAGGTAGTTAATGAGTGTACTGTATATGCATTTTATTGCTCTAGGGAGCTTTAAGCATCATAATAAAGTATGTGTGGGTGGGGTGGCCAGGAAGGCTACTACACCTGACTTTTTAGAATAAATACTACTCACCTTTTGCCCTACATTAAAACTACAAATATTTTGAGGTAAATAATAAGTGTACTCTGTATGTATTTTACTTTTTAATGCCTAGTTCTATTGCTAACTTAATATATGTTATCATAAACTTGTTATCTGGCATTTATATGCATTTATAAATGGAAAAAAAATGGAGTTCTGCTTTCCAGTGAAGTCTGCTTTCCGGCAGTAGCCTGGAATCTAACCTGCCATATAAGTGGGGCCTTACTGTATATATATTATTTCCTTATATTTTATTGATTTTAAACTGTAGCTGAGTTTTTCCTAGATACATTAATTTTCCTAGACCAATCTTTGAATATTTTAATTTAGTTTGATGTTTTATTGTAACCAATTTACAGACCCAAGGCTGAAGGGAACTTAAGTCTTTTATCACATAGACTATTGATAATCTACTTTCATACTGAATGGGAGTTTATCATTGATCAAACAGACAATTTAAGGTTGAGTATGTAATACTCAACCTTAAAGGGAGAGTGAATGGTAAAGGGAGGCAAAAGTGAAGGTAGGGGCCAAAGGTAGAAGGAAAGGAAGTAGTAGTAGTAATGGGGTCAGTCAGAGGTGAAGAAAGAAGAGCACTGCAGGAGAGCTGAGGGCCCACAAAGGGTAAGACCAAAAACATAGGGAATGGGAAGGAAAAAAAGCTAAGGATAGAACACCCAAGGCAAAAGAATGGAAACCTTTTTGTTCTTTGAATATGTAATGCTATGCTCATAGAGTCCCTTCTTCAATAATTTGTTGATACTGTAATTTCATTTTTAACATTCTTGATGATTGAAGCAGTTCATTCTCTTGTAATTCATTCCATTGATTTGCCATTCCATGAAGATAAATTTGCTAGTATCCCACTGATAACAAAAATATGGTAATAATTCTTAGCTGCTTGTTTGGAGAGTTCTGTAAACACAGTCTAAGGAGTCTCAGTAATTACTATTCACTTTACAAGTTGCATCTTCTGGGGAGTTGGAGGAAGTGGACCTGTGTACTTTTTTTCATAGCATTTTGGCACTTTGTTTCGGTAGTATATATACATCTTATGAGCCAGTGTTTCGGAGATATATATGCTCAATAATTCTAGTGGCTTCAAATCAAGCAGGAGAAAGCTGGTACACCCACACGTGAGAGAATGGGTCTGTGTGGTCAGTGTGCACTGTATAAAAAAAATCCTGCAGCACACAGTGCATAATGAGAAAAAAAAAACTCCGACCGTGTTTTTGGACTAAAACACCGACTTTGAGGTGTATTTTCCTATAGTATTTATGGTTGTATTCTCGTTTTCTTGGTCTCATTTGATAGAATGGAAAACATATTACAGAAATAGAGATGATTTTTATTAGTTTCCCAATGAAAACGACCTTCAAATTGAGCTCAAAGTAGTGGAAATGTTCGATTTTGATCAATGTTCAAGAGTAAGCAATCATACCACACGTCCAATACACATCAACTGGGGAGTCTAATATTCTTTCACTAGTGCACTGATATTATTTATACCATTTTTACAATAATGCAGTAGTCTGCATAACAGTAAATCTTCTATTTTTTGTGTGAATAAAAAATCAAAATGGAAAGCAAGAGTAATATGAGAGGGGCCTAGAGACGTGACTAATGAACAGAGGATATGTTATTTTAATTCCAAGAATGTCTGCATTGTTTATTCTGAACCCTATTTTGAAATTGGCATCTTTTTTAATTTGCGTGAAATTGGCCAAATTGACAGTTTCTGACCACTTTGTTGGATAGGTGTAATCGGTAAACGGGCAGTTTCTTGTACTCAATTGATAGAAAAAATGGAGTTATAAAGAAATAGCTATGAGTTTGGTTGACTGGAGCAATGGAATTGGCCGAAAATAAGGCTCAAAGTCAGCGGAATCGCCGATGTGTATATATATCGCCGAGATCACTAATTTTTTTTTTCTGTTTTTTTTTTGTTCAAAAATTTTTCGACATAGAATGACAGTTTCAGAAAGAAGCTTGCGACAGTCAAAGGGTTAAAATTCAAAAGTATAAACTGTTGACATGACATACAATAGTGACTGCTCAGACATGCATGAAGGAAGTACAGCTTTGGAAAATTTTGCTGTTTAAAACTTTGTTATTTAGTGCAAGCAAGGGACTACTATCCTTACATTGGCAATACCATCATGTATAATTCTTTTGACAAGGATTTTTTCTGTTGCATTTACAGATAACAGACACATGCTTAACAGTGTTTACTATTCCTTAGGTTTCCATCTTTCAACCCAATCACTACAGCAGAACAGTGTGCAGCCAAGATAATTGAAGGTGTTTGCAGGGAGGAAGAGGTTGTCTGCATCCCAACCAAGGATTATTATGGGCATATTATTATGCAGTAAGGACCTGTGCATTGATTGTACTCTTAAAGCATCTAGGACAATACTGTATAGTATTATTAAGTACACTACAGATCGGCCATCACCAATCTGGCAATCAATAATCCAGTTTCATCAGTAATCCGGCACTAATTTTGGATAGCATGATTTCAAATTTCCAGGGTTGCCACGCTAGCCTGCCACTACTATTTGGTGGCTCTACTTGCTGCATAAGTCATTCCAATTTCTTTTTCTCATTTATTATTATAACCTGCTTACTTTTAGCCCTAACCATGGTTCCAACGAATAAAAGAAATGTTTCTCGTTGTGTAAAGCACATACACCATACATGGTCCATAAAAGATAAGGTGGCTATGAAGCCACTGTCAGTCGCCACAAGCTAAGCTCACTCAGATAAGCTGTGACTGGTAAATTTGGGCGTACATATGAGAGAATAGGTCTGTGTGGCAAGTGTGCACTATATAAAAAGAAATCCTGCAGCATGCAGGGCATAATGAGAAAAAAACTGTAATCATGGTGTAAAACAGCAACTTTACGGTGTATATTTGCATGGTTTTTATGGTTGTATTTTCGTTTTTTGGTCTCAAATGATGTCACGGTCCATTATGTGTCTAACTGTCGCAGTTGTGAATGGGTTGACATTATTTATATACAGTAATTGTTACAATAATGCAGTAGTCTGCATAACAGTGAATCTTCTGTCTTTTGTGTGAATAAAAAATTCAAAATGGAAAGCAAGAGTAATATAAGATGGGCGTGGAGACATCATAACTAATAAACAGAGAAAATGTTATTTTAGTGCCAGGAATGTCTGCATTGTTTATTCTGAGCCCTATTTTGAAATTGGCATCTTTTGAAAATTGTGTGAAATTGGCCAAATTACCAATTTCTGGCCACTTTATTGGGTATTTGAAATAGGTGAATGGGCAGTTTTTTGTACTCAGTCGACAGAATAGAAGGAATTCTAGAGAAATAGCTATGAGTTTGGTAAACTGGAACAATGGAATAGGCCAAAAATAAGGCATAAATTGGGGGAAATCGCCAATGCGTAAATATCGCCATTGGGTTAAGTGTATTCAAACCTAACAACTTTGTAATCCGGCACCCTACAGGTCCCGATGATGCTGGATTAGTGATGGCCAACCCATACCTGCTTATCTGTGTATAGGGAGGCAGTGGAATAAAGATACTGGTAGCAGAATATCCTTTTAATATGTGTTCTCAGCATCGTATTGACAGTTTGCTCATGTTTTTTCCTTGCCTTATTAACTTGTGTGAAAGTTTAAGATCTTTGGAGACTTTTGCTGCATGACACTTGAGAGCATTCATGAATGAAGTATAAGTTAGAGGATAGGTGTTACATTCAGTTTGCTAGAGAAACATTCATAACAATTTAATGTTCTTTTCAGGATGCTTCCACGACCAGTGCAAAAGGCATTTTTGGACTTCATGGATACAGGTGTAGATGAAGATACCAGCTAATCACTATTACTCTACGATAGACTTGCACTGCTGTCAAGTGATAACAGCAGATTAATTGTTTGTATTCTACTTAAGTATAGAACTAGTGGCCTTCTCAATGTCATGAATGTAAACTGTCTTCCAGTGTGACTAAGAATATTCATTGCCTTAATTCATAAATTTTTAGATGGTATATATGATGCTCTTATATATACATTTTGTGTATATATATTTTTGAAAGTGTATTGGGATAGTTATAAATGGTGCCAAGTATTTACTTTGAAGGTTGTATTTTAGTGTTTTAAATTAGAATAACTTTTATCATACCATATATATCACTTTTTGCTATATGTGGAGTTTATAGTTATCTATCAGGGATAATCTGTGATTTTTATGTACTGTATGTATATGGTACATTTCAACATTCCTAATCAGCAGAAGAAAAAGCTTCAAATAGACATAAAGTAATAGCCTTTTTGACTTTAAGAACGAATAAAAAATGTATTAAGTACCTAGCTGTAAAGTTATTTATGCACCTGTCCACATAATCAAGTCAGTAATATTTCAGTTATTGAGGTTATGGTGTATTGTTATTAATTAATTCCTTTTTGATAAATGATAAGCTAACCTAGATTAACTTACCTTGAATGTAAATTTGCTGGAAGCAGTGTGTGAGAAATTGACTTAGAATTTAGGTGGATGGGTTGCATTTATTAGACCTGTTTGTTTAATATGGTGCAATAAGTATTTTATTATGTTATGCTACAATACGAACACATTAATGAGTATATTGAGGAGTGAGACCCCTCAATAAATGTATATAAATATACCACAGGGTTGATTATAGTATTTGGAGTTCTCTTATTTGTAGCAAGTTTTCCCAAAGTAGTATTATATACTTGTACATATTCCAAAAGCTGCTAACATTGTTGAGATGATGGGTAATTTTATTATAGCTCAGTTAGTAGTTACAGTGTATGTACAGGTAGTTGTTTATAGACAGCTGGTCACACTACTTTGGAATTGTGATCAAATCTCAGTCTTTTTTTTTTTTATGCTTTTTGTCTTCAGTCTAGTGAGAACATGATTACTGAACTGATATTGTTTTTCCTCCTTCCTTAGCTCCTCTCTCTTCTTAGTATTTATTTTCATGTTTTTTTTTTTTTTTTTCACATTTATATTTTGCTTTCTTATAGTCTAATTATTGTGACAGTGAGTTTGATAGTTATTTATACAGATATTCAGACCACTTGAATGTTGTAATCAAATTCCTGTCATTTCTGAACTTAAGTTTAGCACAGTTATTACACACACAATCTTCCCTCCTTCCCTAAATCTTTTCCTTTATCTGTCTCTCCATTATTTTTATTGCTCTCCTTATTTTCCTCTCTCTATCTTGAGTTTCCATGTTCGTTTACTTTTTATGTATCCAATTCTCTCATTTTGAATCTCTCTATGTCATTCTTGTGATTTTTGTTTGCATGGTTACTTTTCACTCAAGTATTTTTCTTTCCATTATTCAGAGTGAGTACACGTATTCAGTATTTTGTAAAACATTTAAACTTTGAAGCGTGTCTGCAGTTTCAGGTTGAGTTTAAATCCAGCATTAGACAAATGCAACCATTAGACTACACAGTAAAACAAAGAGATTTTAAGTAATGCTTAAGATGAATAAAGGCAGGATGTCATACACATTGCCCGTATCCCTAATACTTTACAGGAGGGCCCAATAACATGTTTACACTATCATATATTAAGTTATCAGTAGAACTAGTCATACAAAAATTAATAAAAAGTAAAATGCATATACAGTACACTCATTACTTGCCTTAAAATATTTGTAGTTTTAATGTAGGGTCAGAGGTGAATAGTATACGTATATACATGTATATATACACTAGTTCCTCGGTGGGATACGGCTGGTCTGAAGAAAGAATATACACTAGTTGTATGCGACACAATAACCGCACAAATATTGTTATTATTATGTTGTTTACAAAACTTGTTTTCATAAACCAACAATTAAAAAAGTTGTTTATTACTATTTCTTTCTTTCAACACACCAGCCGTATCCCACCAAGGCAGGGTGGCCCAAAAAGAAAAACAAAAGTTTCTCTTTTAAATTTAGTAATTTATACAGGAGAAGGGGTTACTAGCCCCTTGCTCCCGGCATTTTAGTCGCCTCTTACAACACGCATGGCTTACGGAGGAAGAATTCCGTTCCACTTCCCCATGGAGATTTATTACTATTTTTCTATAATATATATATGCACATAGAGTCACTGGACACATTCCTAGAACTGTTACAGTTTATGGAACTCTTTGAAACATGGTGTTATGCACAGTGCTGTTTTACACTCCTCACACATAAAACGAGTGTCTGCATTTTTGTGGGCAAGTTGTTGTGGTTGTGGTTGTGCAGGTTGTTGTGGTGTGTGGGTGGTTGTGGTTGTGCAGGTTGTGGTGTGTGGGTGATTGAAGGTGGCCTTTGTTGTGGATGTGCTGAGTCAGCAGCATGGCTACCAGCCTGGGGTGCCACTGGTACCACATGAAGCATTTCACCATACCACCCGCTGTCGCATGTATATTATCCATCCCAATTGTAACATTACCCATTACCCATACCATCTTTCCCACCAACCATGCTGTCTTCCCCACCACCCACATGGAAATAAGTCACTGACTTTTTTTTGGGTTAACCTAGGTTCTCTACACATATGCTGCTATGTATGATAATATAATCTATGTACAGTAGACCATCATTTAGCACAAGTTTATTTGGCACGATTTGAGTGTAGCATGATTGAAGAATTGCGACACAACTTTATGTAACACGTAAAATCAATTGAACACGATTTGCGGGAGGGTAAAAAATTTTGAGCGTGTGGTCGCCCGGTCGCCCGCGGTGGGGAGGCCTACCACCATCCCCCCCGCCACCCACACCCACCCACACCATGCTCCCATCCTCCAGTTCGGTTCATGCTGATGTAGGACGAAGATACATACTCGGGAACCTCGCTGTGTTTATTTACATTCATTGTACTATATATTTTCATTGCTATTTGTTAAATCTGCCAAGCAATCATGGCACCCAGTAAGCATACAAGTGTTGCTGAAAGTGACAAGAAAAGGTTTAGGCGTTCAAGTCTAGGAATTGCGAAGAAAATTGAGATACAGTGGTCCCTCGATAATCGTCTGGCTCGATAGTCGTCCTTTTCGGAAATCATCGCTTTATTTTCATCCAAACATTGGCTCGCAAATGGTCAGTTGACTCGCTAATCGTCGTTCGTCCTGGACGCGTACTCACAGCTCTGAGCTGGGTCGGCCTCCCTTCCCAGCCAGTGTGCCACTGTTTACCAGTGAGCAACGGTTCTCTCACTTGTTCATACGAAATATTTCATAATATTCCATTCATTTTAGTGCTTGCAAGTGCTAAATAAGCTACCATGGCTCCAAAGAAAGCTCCTAGTGCCAAGCCTTTGGTAAAGAAGGTGAGAAATATGAATGAATTTAAAAAAAACATCATTGAACAATATGAAAGCGTTATAGGTAAGGCTTGGGAGGGAGTGACTACCAGGACTTTGAACTCTGCTTGGAGAAAATTGTGGCCAGATTGTGTCCACAAGAGATAATTTGAAGGGTTTGTGGCTGACCCTGATGAGCCTATGTCAGTTGTGAACTCTATTGTGGCATTGGGGAGTTCCATGGGGTTGGATGTGAGTTTGGAGGATGTGGAAGAGTTGGTGGAGGACCACAACGAAGAGCTAACCACTGAGGAGCTGCAAGAGCTTCAGCAGGAGCAGCAACAGATCGCAGCTCAGAATCTTGCTGCAGAGGAGGAGGAAGAGAGATGGAAGAAGGTGCCTTCTTCAGAAATTAAGGAGATTTTTGAAATGTGGGGTAGGATGGAAAGATTTATGGAGAAACATCACCCTGAGAAGGATGTTGCAAGCCATATCGGCAACTTGTACAGTGACAGTCTTGGCCCATTTTAGGGAAGTTTTAAAGAGACGCCAGAAACAGAGCTCTCTGGACACTTTGCGAGACAGGACTCCTGTGACTCTCAAGCTGGTCCTAGTGGCATTAAGAAACAGAGAAGAGAAGTAACCCCAGAAAAGGACTTGGTACCTGGGCTTTGATGGAAGGGGATTCCCTTTCCAAACAGTAACTAATCCAATCTCTCTCCTCCTCCAGTCTTTCATACACTAAGAAGAATTGCCAATAAAGGTAAGTGTTATGCTGTTAATGTTTCATTCATCATGTGCCATTGTATTGTTTATGTACTACATCTATATTTCATGTAAAAAAAATTTTTGTTTTAATTCTTCTGGGTGTCAGGAACGGATTAATTGTAATTGCATTATTTCTTACGGGGAAAATTGATTCGAAAATCGTCTATTTCGATAATTGTCGCACTCCCAGGAACGAATTAGCGAGGGACCACGGTATTAGATAAGCTTAACCCTTTCAGGGTCCGTGTCATAGATCTACGGCTTTATGTTCAGGGTCCAAACCGTAGCTCTACAGTCTACACCATGAGCTCAGCTCACTCTGATAAGCTGTGAGTGGTAAATTTGGGCCTAGATATGAGAGAATACATCTGTGTGGTACATGTGCACCACATAAAACAAATCCTGCAGCACACAGTGTATAACAAGAGAAAAAACTGAGACTGTGATTTTCGATTAAAACAGCGACTTTTCAGTGTTTTTTCGTATGTTTTTATAGTTGTATTTGCGATTTCTTGGTCTTATTTGATAGAATGGAAGACATATTACAGTTTGATAGAATGGAAGACATATTACAGAAATAGAGATGATTTTGATTGGTTTTAGCACTGGAAATGGCTTGAAACTGAGCTCAAAGTAGCGGAAATGTTAAATTTTTGCCGATGTTCAAGAGTAAACAAACGACCTCACACGTCTAATACACACCAGCTGGTGGATCTAATATACATTCACAAATGTGGTGATGATATTTATACAATTATTACAATATTTCATAACAGTAAATCTTCTATTTTTTGGTTTGAATAAAAATTCATTATGTGAATAAAAAATCAAAATGGAATTCATTTGTAAAGCCGCAAAACATAACTAATGAACAGAGGAAATGTTTGTTTTGTGCCAGGAATACCTACATTGTTTATTCTGGGCCCCTATTTTGAAATTGGAATATTTTGAACTTTGTGTTAAATTGGCCAAATTACCAATTTCCGATCGCTTTATTTTGTAGTTGAAACAGTTGACTTGGCGATTTCTTGTGCTCAATCGATAGAATAGAAGTAATACTAGTGAAATAGCTAAGAATTTGGTCGACTGGAATAATGTAATTGGCCTAAAATAGGAGGCAAAATCGCCGATTCATAAATATCGCTGACACATCAAAATTCGCGAGAGCATAATTTCATCAATTTTCCATCAAATTTCGTACTTTTTGTTTTATTACCTTCAGAAAAAGATTCTCTACCATTTCATAAAAAATAACAAAAATTTTTTTTGAAAATTCTTGGACCCTGGTGCGCACTTTGGAATTTGGCTTCTGGACCCTGAAAGGGTTAAGAGTGGATCACGTGTGGTGGATATAGTGAGGGCCTTTGGCCTTAATGAAGCGTCAGTTTGTACAATTAAAAAGAATGAGGCAAATATTCGAGCTTGTGTAATGAATAACCCAAGATGTCATCTCATGAAAAGAATGACACGTAAGTCCCAACAAGTAAATAAAGCAGAAAACTTGTTGCTTGAGTGGATTGAACAGAAGACAAAGAAAGGTGCACCACTTAATTTCCTCTTAATTAGGGAAAAGGCTTTACAGTTGTTTAAAGCAGTGTGTGATAAGGAAGGAAGACCTGAAAAAGTGTGTGTTTAGCACAGGCTGGTTCCACATGTTTAAGTTGCATAATATTAAGTTTTCTAGTGAAAGTGCTTCAGCTGATCATACAGCAGCAAGTAATTTCCCTGCTGAATTGCAGGAAATTATTTCTGAGGGTGGCTATGAGCCACATCAAGTGTTTAATGTTAACAAGACAAGTGTTTTTTTGAAAAAATGCCAACATAAACTTATATCAGTCAGCAAGAGAAGAGTGCACTGGGCTTCAAGACAGCAAAGTATCGCTTCACCTTGCTCCTTTGCAGTAATGCATCAGGTGATTTCAGGTGTAAGCCCATGGCTATTTACTGCTCTAAGAATCCTTGTGCTTTGAAAGGTGTAGATAAAAACACCTTACCAGTAATTTGGAGGTCAAACCAGTCAGCGTGGATGACAGAGGAAATATTTATTGACTGGTTTAAGCATCACTTTATTCCTGAAGTCAAGTTTTACCTGCACAGCAAGAACCTTGCAGTCAAGGCTCTCTTCATTCTTGATAATTCCTGTACTCATCCATAAGCTTTGCTGGATGTGACCTCACATGTAAAAATTGTATTTTTACCTCCAAATACAACATCTCTAATACAACCACTGGATCGGGAAGTTATTAAGTCATTCAAGTGTAGCTACACAAAAAAAGTTATGAAAAAACTAGTCGCATCAGTGGACTCTGATTCCAACTTGGCAGTACCAAGCTTCTGGAATAAATTTAACATTGCAGATGCTATCAGCTATGCTAGAAGTGCATGGAATGAAGTGCCCCAATCAACATTAAATGCAGGTGGGGAAAGTTATGGCCTTCTGTGGTTAATTCTTTCACTGGTTTTCCCTTGCTTGAGAGTCAGGTTCAGGAAATTGTTCAGCTGGCAAGGAAATTACCAGGTGATGGTTTTGAAGATATGAATGAGCTCTTAGATGATGATGATGAAGACAGGAGTCCAGGGGAAATGTTGGCAGAGCTCAATGCAGAGATACAAGGGAGGGAGTTAACAGAAGGAGATGAAGAAGAACCTGAAGAAAAAGAGTTAACATTGCAGCAATAACATGAGCAGTTCCATGCTGCTGCTAAACTAGCAGACTTTTTAACTGATGAAGACCCTGACAAATCTAGAAGTAGTTCTTTGTAATGAGGTCTAGACCAGCTGATGATGCCTTACTGTCAGTTGTATAATGTATTGCAAGGTAAAAGAGCTCAGAGATCTATTACAGAATTTATGCACACTCCAATACAACCATCAACTTCAGTACCAGAACCTCTACCATCCACTTCTGTCGACAACCAACAACCATCCACCTCAGCCTAGTAGGGCCCCACCATCCATATCCACTCTCTCCACAATCATCCATTACCCACAATTTAAGGTAAATACTATTATTTCTATTGCATTTGTAGTCTTAAGCAGTAATATATCATGACAATGAACTACAATTACATATTCACATTTATTTTTGTAAAATCTGTTTGGTCTAAAAAAAAGTTGTTTGGCTTTTTGGGGGCTCCCAGGAACGTAACCCTATTTTCTCACAAGTTCTTCAGTTCATCTAACATGATTTTACCTAACACGGCATTTTCAAGAACGTAATTACCATGCTAAATGATGGTCCACTGTGATTGTATTTATGCCAGGAGCAAGGGGCTAGTAACCTCTTCTCCTGTATATATTACTGAATGTAAAAGAAGAAACTTTAATTTTTTCTTCTGGGCCACCCTGCCTCAGTGGGATATGGCTGGTGCATTGAAAGAAGAATTGTATTTGTGTATACCTGAATAAACTTATGTACACGCTATCTTCCCCACCGCCCATGCCATCTTCCCCACCACCCACGTTATCTTCCTCACCAGCCACACCATCTTCTCCACCACCCGTGCTGTCTTGTCTTTTCACTATCTGTTCCTGGTGTAAGGCCACGGGATGTACTCCGAGATGTACTCCTTCCCCTTGGAATAGCATGTGGCACACTACCAGAATGCATGTAGTCTCGTATAAATTGACGCTTCACTGGAGAATATTCCTCTTCATTGTCGCTACTGGAATTATAATCAAGAGATTGAAAAATCACAGTCAGTATCACTGTCATGGCCACTGCTCACATCTGAGTCCTGGACATGGGAAAATATGAGTTTCCTCTTTTGCTGTAGTACAAATGAACATGAACAAGACAACCCAGCACCAGAGGTGGAAGGTTGATGGTTGTCTGGGTTTGCAGTACTATTTCTGGTATCCTGGGCATTGCTTTCAGTCACAGACTCCTTAAAGCCATGAAATTCATCTTCACTGACACTCCCATCTGTGTTAGAACTATCACTTGGTTAGAGAAGGTCCCAGTTCACCGGGGAGTGAGGTATTCCTTACTGCTAGGCATGGTGAACAAGGCATACTGAACTGGCTCTCCCACAATGCACTGTGGCCTCCCTGATTTTTTTTATACTGTGCACACTGAGCACAGACCCATTCTCTCATATAGACCTACCAGCTTTTTCCCGCCAGATTTGATGCCGCTAGAATTTTGGCGTAGTATTATGGGACCGACACTGGCTTGCAAGCCGTAATATTACAGGACTCGCAGTGAAAGGGTTAAGAGTGCCATAAAGTCATACAAAGGTTGCAAAAGAGTATACTACTCATGTCTGTAGTATACTCTTTGCAGGGAAAGACTTGTAAATGTGTTTTCTCCTTTGTATGAGCTGACAAAGTTTTCTATGATGTGTATAAAGCTCTTAACAGGGGAGCTTCCAATAAAAGCATTTGCAATGTGTTTTATGCTTTTCATTCAAAATACATATATTCCTTGGGTTTCCCATGCTCAAATCAAATTTTTTGATATGGCTCAAATAATTGAAGAGACAAACCAACCTTTGTATTTTTCTAAAAGTTACCTTGATCTGTTATTCACAAAGCTGTTTTCTCTGTAAAAGGAGAGGAAATGAGAGAGTGGGTGAGTTGCCAACAATTTTGCTGAGAATAAGAAAAAGTTTTGGAATGAGATTAATAAGTTGAGAAAGCTTAAGGAATGAATGGACTTGATAATTAAAATAAGAAAGGAGAGTTATTAGATGGAGAGTTGGAAGTATCAAAGATGAAAGGAATACTTTTAGAAGTTGTTAAATGTTGATGAAGAGAGGGAAGCTGTGATTTCATGCATTGACCAAGGAGGTATAACATCGTACAGGAGCGAGGAAGTGCCAGATATAAGTATGGGGGAGGTGCTTGAGGCTGTGGGTAGAATGAAAATGGGTAAAACAGCTGGGATTGATGGGATCAAGAAGAAAATGGTAAATGTAGGTGAGGATATTGTCTTAGAATGGTTAGTGTTATTAATAAATTTATGAAAAAGGGGAAGGTACCTAGGGACTGGCAGAGAGCATGCATAATTCCTTTGTATAAAGGCAGTGAGGACAAAAGAGTGTAAAAATTATAGGGAAATAAGCCTGTTGAGTATACCTGGTAAGGTGTATGGTAGAGTTATCAGTGAAAGAATTAAGAGTAAGACAAAGAACAAGATTGCAGATGAACAAGGAAGCTATAGGAAGGGTAAGGAATGTGTAGACCAGGTGTTTACAATAAAGCATATAAGTGAACAGTATTTGGATAAGTGTTAAGAGGTTGTTGTTGCATTCATGGATTTGGAAAAGGCATATGATAGGGTGGATAGGAAAGCAATGTGTCCAATGTTTCTATTGTATGGAATGGGTGGTCGGTTACTGAAAGCAGTTAAGAGTTTTTACAAGGATAGGCTTAGGTTAGAGAGGGGGAGATTATTAACCAGTAAGCCATGGTGACATGATGCATCCCAGACAGGGATGTGTGATGTCACCATGGCTATTCAATATATTTATAGATGGGGTTGCAAGAAAAGTGAATGCTTAAGTGTTGGCAAGAGGTGTGGGATTTAAAGATAAAGAATCTAACACAAAGTGAGAGTTGTCATAATTACTTTTTGCTTCTGACACTGGGCTTCTGGGAGGTTCTGAAGAAAAGTTGCAGAGGTTGGTGGATGAGTTTGGGAGGGTATGTAAAAGAAGGAAATTAAAAGTGAACAAAGTGATGAGAATAACAAAAAAATTAGGTAATGAAAGATTGGATATCAGTTTGAAGGGAGGGAGGATGGAGGAGGTGAATGTATTCAGATATTTGGGAGTGGACTTGTCAGCTGATGGGTCTATGATGAGATGAACAGAAGAACTGATAAGGGGGAAAAGGTGAATGGAGCACTGAAAAGTTTGTGGAGACAAAGAATAATATCCATGGAAGCAAAGAGGAAAATGTGTAAAAGGAAAACAATGAAGGAAGTAAAAACTTCAGAGCTAGATCAAGTTCTGATGAAGTGGTTTAGGCTACTTGTGAGTGAAGGTGTTAAGTTGTAAATTTCAGCCCTTCACTTTGTAAGCGGCAGTGATGAAGTTTCTTGTGTAAGTCAAATTGGTTAACTTTATTAACCCTTTCAGTGTCACTCCCATTGTATCATGGCTTTGATGCCACTGTCTGTCCTGTAGTATGACACCATGAGCTCATCTCACTCAGATAAGCTGTGACTGGTAAGCTTGGGCCTAGTTGTGAGAGAATACATCTGTGTGGAAAGTGTGCACTATATAAAAAAAATCCTGTAGTGTGCAGTGCATGACAAGAAAAAATGCTACTGTTTTTAGTGTAAAACAGCAACTTTGTAGTGTATTTTTGTATGTTTTTTGTGGTTTTATTCTCGGTTATTTAGTATCATTTGATGGAATGGAAGATATATTACAGAAATAAAGATGATTTTGATTCGTTTCAGGATGGAGAGTACCTTGAAACTGAGCTCAAAGTAGTGGAAATGTTTGATTTTTGCCCATGTTCAAGAGTAAACAGATCACGTCACGTGTCCAACTGGCCAGTCTAATACATGGTCACAAGTAGCTCGACATTATTTATACAATTATTATAATAATGCAGTAGTCTGCATAACAGCAAATCTCCTATTTTTTGTGTGAATAAAAATTTAGAATAGAAAGCAAGCGGAATATAAGAGGGGCCTAGAGATGTGAATAATGAACAGAGATGTTATTTTATGCCAGGAATGTCTGCATTGTTTATTCTGGACACTATTTTGAAATTGGTATCTCTGAAATTTGTGTGAAATTGGTCAAATTACCGATTTCTGATCACTTTATTGGGTTGAAATAGGTAAATGGGTGGTTTCTTGTACTCAATCACAGTGGCGGCTTGTCCATAGGAGCTGCAGAGCTGCAGTCCCCCCAGATGCTCTCTGCCAGACGTATGACTTCATCAATCTTATGCTAAAATAATTTGCAGCTGACAAATATATTACAGAAAAAATCTGTTGTATATTGTTTTCAATGTATTTATAAGTGATTTTTTTTATTTTTTTGTTGAAACGAGATAAAAAATTATTAAAAATAGAAGTTTGATGCGGTACGATAGTACAGTGGTCCCTCGATAATAGTCTGGCTTGATAGTCGTCCTTTTCGGAAATCGTTGCGTTATTTTAGTGCAAACATTGGCTCGCAAATGGTCAGTTGGCTCGCTAATCGTCATTCGTCCTGGACGCGTACTCACGGCTCTGAGCCACCTCGGCCTCCCTTCCCAGCTAGTGTGCCATTGTTTACCAGTGAGCGACAGTCCCCTCACATTTTCATACGAAATATTTCATAATATTCCATTCATTTTAGTGCTTGCAAGTACTAAATAAGCTATCAAGCCTCCAGAGAAAGCTCCTAATGCCAAGCCTTTGGTAAAGAAGGTGAGAAATACGATTGAATTTAAGAAAAACATCATTGAACAATATGAAAGTGGCGTACGTGTGGCTGAACTGGCCAGGATGTATAACAAATCCCGTACAACCATATCTTTCATCGTGGCCAAGAAAAAGGAAATCAAGGAAGCTATTGTTGCAAAGGGGGTAAATATGCTGACAAAAATGAGATCACCAGTACTCGAAGAGGTTGAGAAGTTATTATTGGTGTGGATAAACAAGAAGGAGGAAGGAGGAGGAAGAGAGATGGAAGAAGGTACCTTCTTCAGAAATTAAGGAGATTTTTGAAATGTGGGGTAGGATGGAAAGATTTATGGAGAAACATCACCCTGAGAAGGATGTTGCAAGCCATATCGGCAACTTGTACAGTGACAGAGTTTTGGCCCAATTTAGGGAAGTTTTAAAGAGACGCCAGAAACAGAGCTCTCTGGACACTTTTTTTTGCATGACAGGATTCCTGTGACTCTCAAGCTGGTCTTAGTGGCATTAAGAAACAGAGAAGAGAAGTAACCCCAGAAAAGGACTTGGTACCTGGGCTTTGATGGAAGGGGATTCCCTTTCCAAACAGTAACTAATCCAATCTCTCTCCTCCTCCAGTCTTGCATACACTAAGAAGAATTGCCAATAAAGGTAAGTGTTATGCTGTTAATGTTTCATTCATCATGTGCCATTGTATTGTTTATGTACTACATCTATATTTCATGTAAAAAAATTTTTTGTTTTAATACTTCTGGGTGTCAGGAACGGATTAATTGTATTTACATTATTTCTTGTGAGGAAAATTGATTCGAAAATTGTCTTTTTTGATAATTGTCGCACTTCCAGGAACGGATTAACGACGATAAACGAGGAACCACTGTATAGGTATTACTGGCATTACAAGCCGCCACTGTTCACTCAACAGAATAGAAGGAATGCTAGTGAAGTAGCCATGAGTTTGGTCGAATGGGATACAGTGGGCCCCCAGCATACGTTAAATCCGGCATACGATACATTTTAAAGAAAAAATTTTGCCTAGCCTCGTGTTAAAAAACTCACCTCACATGAGTCGTTCAAGACGCGTCCCACTTGTGGCCTCAACACCAGTGTTCACAAGCCAGCCAGTGCGGTCACATCTACGCATACATTCGGTACATTTCACATTATCCCAATGTTTTTAGTGCTTGTAACTACAAAATAAGTCACCATGGACCCCAAGAAAGTTTCTAGTGCCATCCCTGTGGTAAAAAGGGTGAGAATTAGTATGGAATTGAAAAAAGAGATTAAGGAAATGTGTGCAAAGTGGCTTGGAGTGCAAACCTTTATGGATGAAAATCACCCTCACACCGCTATTGCAAGCCGTGCTGGTGACTATTACAATGACAATGTTGTGAACCACTTTAGACAAATCTTAATAAAATAAAAGACGAAGGGAAGTAACCCCGGAAAAGGACTTGATACCTCAAGTCCTAATGGAAGGGGATTCCCCTTCTAAACAATAAGTTTGACACTCTCCCCTCCTCCCATCCCATCAATCATCACCAGATCTTCATTAAAGGCAAGTGTCATGTATTCTATTGTTAGTAGAGTACTACTTACTGTGCATGTCTTCTTCAGTTTGTGTGCATTAAACTTAATATTTCATGCGGTAAAACTTTTTTTTTCATACTTTTGGGTGTCTTGCACGGATTAATTTGATTTCCATTATTTCTTATGGGGAAAATTAATTCGCCTTACAATAATTTCGGCATACGATGAGCTCTCAGGAACGGATTAATATCGTATGCCGGGGGTCCACTGTAATGGAATTGGCCAAAAGTAGGGCGTAAAGTGGGTGAAATCACCGATGCTTAAGTATCACCAAGACTGGTAACTTAGAGCATAATTCCGTAAGTTTTCTATCAAATTCCGTACTTTTGGGTTCATTACCTTTGGAAAAAGATTCTCCATCATTTCATAAGATAATTTTTTTTTTTTTAAATTCTTCGACACTGGGAGCAAGTTTGTGAGCAGGGGTCGCGACAGTG